TATTAATGATATTAATAAATGTAATAATAAATAATAATAGTTATTATTATAATAAATAAAACATATTATACTGATATACTCTTAAAAATTTAAGAGTCTGGTATAGTTTTCATTTACTTTAATACTAATAGTTTCACTTACTTATCTTCTTTAACAATAAAACGTATATTTGTATAGAAAACTCTCTGTTCAAAGAACGAGTTGTAGAATCATCACAACAATGTTCAGTTGGATGGGAAGATCCTACTGAACAACAAGAAAAAGCCCGGGTAAGTTAATTAATAATTATTATACTTGCATCAAAATATCAAATCATCAATGTATAATATGTTTCATACATTTCAGTTAAAAAGACTGTCGGAGTGCAATAAAAAGTTTATATTAACCAGTGTGAATACCAGTGTAACTAAATATTTTACTTAATGATTAATATTTTTAATTTTATTTGAAAAACTCTAAAATGTTGATTTGTTTCAATAGGATCGACAAAAGTATGAAAATGCTATTGAAAAACTTGGTGCTCAAGTATTACGAAGTGCTATATTTTGTGAAGATGTTACTCACGTTCTTATGCACCAGCCAAGTAGAAGTGAAAAATATTTGTGTTCTCTTGCTTCTGGAAAATGGATATTACATCCAAGCTATATTGATGATTGTTTAGAGGAAAATTGTTTTTTGCCAGTAAGTAAAATTTAATATATAACTTTATTGTTCTAAATAATTGAATATATTTTTTATTGAAATTTGTTTGTTTTTGTAGGAAGATAAATATGAATGGGGAAATCCTTTATCCGATTTATCTTTATCAACACCATTGCATGGAGCAGGTTATCGATGGCGTTCTAAAATTTGTTCTGGTAAAGCTGCTGCATTTAGTGGTATGAGAGCTGTATTAATGACTTCTGAAAATAGATACCAAGCTTTGACACGTCTTATACGAGCAGGTGGTGGAGTGATACTGGATAAAAAGTAAATATAACTATTAACTTATAGTTAAATTTTTGGTTTGATCTTAACTTTTATTTTTATTTAGAGAACTTTTGCAATCTACTCATTGTATCGTCGACCAAGGGTATGGTAATATTCCTGTTCCTTTAAATGAAATTGCTGTCAAGGGTATATTACTATTACCAGCTCCGTTTCTGGCTGATTTTCTTATTAAAGATCCAGCACCTGATCCTTTAAAATATCTAATACCTGAGTACCAAGCTTTCTATAATAGATTAGCACCCAATACGTGACATTATAATGTGAACATTAAATATATTGTACTGTTGTAATTTTTTTATCTATATCAGACATGCATTGGGTATTATATTTTTTTTAATACTATCATTTTTAATTTTTAATCTAATATGAATTATATGTTGTATACTTCCATGTATTGATGCTTTGTACTTTTTGATATACTAAACTATTTCAAATCAATTGATATACATGATACATACATAATGTAAATATTTTGAGGTGGTTAAAATATTCTTAAAATATCCATRTACAATTATTCGATGAAGATGATTGAATAAATATTTTTTTTAAAGTTACATTAATAGGTAAGTACTTACAGTTTAGAAACTTATAATATTTAAATATTGTAAAAGTTAAGCAATTATTAAAAATTCAACTACCTATTAAAGAATAATAATTTATTATTTAATGAAAATTAAAAACCGATTCATTTATTTAATGCCAAAAATAAGCATTGAATAAAATGTAATTATACTTTCAAACAATAATATTTTGTTACATTGTTGGTATTATTACCAAAGAAATGTAACATAAAATTAAAATTGTATTGATTGTAAGAATTATCAAAGTTATCTTATTTTACGGTATTAGATACTTAAATAACTTCCATTGTTAAATTGTCAAGATCATATTTTCAGTTATTGTAAATATCTGTGGTATTTTTTTTTTTAATGTTAGATTTTTTTTCTGCTCCCCATATTTATTTTGGACATCATAAGTTCAAATAGGCTTCAGGAGAGTTTTGTAAAGCAACAATTTATTTTTATGTTGAGTTTGGAATGTACCTAGGAGTGGATATAGGGACTTTTGTCTTAGGTTTTAGAGGAGACATTTTTATTTTATATGCTCTACCTATCTCAATGGGGCGATATTGCCCCCCCCCCCAGTAAGCAGTAAAGGAGTTCTGAGTGGCGTTGAGCTCGTTTTGGGCGATAAGGGAGCAATATCGTTTTTATGACAGATATATTTGCAAAATTCAATGTCATCAAATATCAATTTGCAACTTCAAGACGACAAGCTCAATCTCATAACAGCTAAATCTATTATTTCTACATTCCAAAAAAACTAACTTTATGGAAGCAGAATTTAGGCTGCGACAAGTTTAGCCAGTTTCCAGTCCTGTTCTGTGTTTTAACATTTAACTAAATTGTATTTTTTAATAAATTATACATTTCAAGCTTATATTGGGGTAATTTAATAACTTTTCCTATTTTTATATGAATCGTGTAAACATCACTTTTTGGTGAACTTGGTCTAAATACCAACTGAAATTGCTGCTTTTGTGACAATGTATTTACAATATTTTTCCTAGAGGTAATTCTTCACATACCAATAATATAATTTTAAAATGTTTAGTAAATATTAATATGTTTTTAAAACAACATGTAATAATTGCTATAAAATAAAAATTGTTTTTAAGATGTATTTTAAATTTTAATCATTTTTTGGCCTGTTGTTTGATATTTTTGAAATGTATTAAACAAAAATGTTAATAACATTACAATATTTTTTTTAAACTTTTACCTATATTATCCATAGAAAATATGTTTTAAAAATCTAACATAGTTTTACAATTTAGGTTTTAACAATATCATTAAAATATAAATTTAAATACATTTTATAAAATAATAAAGTTTACTAACATAATATTTTAATCAGTCTTTATGTGTTGTATAGTATATTTTGCTCTAAATAAAACAAATACAAAATTATTATAAATAATAGGTAATATATTATTTTGTACTTGTGAATTTTAAAATTGTAAACTACTCATCGTAAGCATATAATAATATAACTTGAATAAAGTAAAATAATTATGT